CGAACTAAGGTTTGAAAGCCATTTAAAAAACTGCTCACTTTGAACTGCTTGCCCTTTAAATAATATTCTTCATTTGCTCATTTTTAAAAAAATTTTTTTTAGTTGTAGGTGGACACAATATCATTATTTATTTATTTTTATGTGCTGCTCAGAATCGAGCCCAGTACCTCATATGTTCGAGGGAGGCACTCTGCCACTGAGCTCCAGCCCTTTTTCATTTGTTCATTTGACCATTGTTATATGCCTCCCTGTGCCAGTCACTAGTTTTGGTTTTGGTATATAGCAGTGAAGAAGAAAAGTCTCTGCCATCATAAAGCTTATATTCTAGTAAGGAAAAACTAAGATACGTCAAATACTGATGAGTGTTTTGAAGAAAAATGATCAAGCCTATGGGGGAAGAAGCATTCTAAGCAAGAAAAAGTATGTTTTAGGTGCTGAGTTTCTACTATTGGAAGAACTGCCAGAGTAAACCAGTATGATTGGAGTCGAATAAGAAGGAAGTACCTGGCATGCATGCGGCCCGAGTTCTATCCTCAGCACCACATACAAACAAAGATGTTGTGCCCACTGAAAACTAAAAACAAAAAACAAATAAATGTTAAAAAAATTCTCTCCCTCTCTCTCATACTCTCTTAAAAAAAAAAAGAAGGAAGTAATAGGGGCTGGGGCTATGGCTCAGTGTAGAGCACTTGCCTCGTATACATGAGGCACTGGGTTCAATCCTCAGCACCACATATAAATAAATAAATAAATAAAAGATATTGTGTCCATCTACAACTAAAAAAATATTTTTTTAAAAAAAGAGGGAAGTAATGGAAGATAAGGTTAAAAAAACCAAAAGCAACAACAAACCCTGACAGGATCATGCAGGACTTTAGAGAATGAAGGACTTCGAGTTTCATTTAAATGTGATGAAAAGTATGTGGAGGATTTTGACCAGGGGTGTGTGCTGTGATTTGGTTTACGTGTTTTAAAACTCATTTTTTTTTTTAAAGAGAGAGTGAGAGAGGAGAGAGAGAGAGAGAAAGAGAGAATTTTTTAATATTTATTTTTTAGTTCTCGGCGGACACAACATCTTTGTTGGTATGTGGTGCTGAGGATCGAACCCGGGCCGCACGCATTCCAGGCGAGCGCGCTACCGCTTGAGCCACATCTCCAGCCCTAAAACTCATTTTTATAGTTGTTTGGAGATCAGACCATAGGGGGAATAAAATAAGATGCGGTAGGATGAATTAAAAGACTTTTATAGTAGTCCAGGCAAGAAAAAAAAGAAAGAATGAATTGTGTTTAAATGATTAGACCAAATGAGATTATGTAGGGAATGGATATGGATTGTGAAGAGAGATACAAGGATGAGTGCTGGTATCTTCCAGTGTGTGTGGAGATGTAGCCACAGAAAAGGATCATAAAATGAAACAGGCAACTGTTAGTGGAATCCTAAAGGTCAAGTTGAAGATAATGTTTGAAGAAAGAGGGAGTGGAAAAGTGGCCAGCTATGTAAAATACCTTTGAGAGTTGGGTCAAAAGACATAGAATTGATTATTAGTTGTTGGGGTTTTTGGCAGGAGAGGGGGCGACTGGGGATTGAACTCAGGGGCACTCAGCCACTGAGCCACATCCCCAGCCCTATTTTGTAATTTTTTTTTAAATTTAGAGACAGAGTCTCACTGAGTTACTTAGCTCCTTAGCTCCTTGCTTTTGCTGAGGCTGGCTTTGAACTTGTGATCTCCTGCCTCAGCCTCCTCAGCGGATGGGATTACAGGTGTGCGCCACTGTGCCTGATAATGATTAGTTTTGATGAGAGGGCAACTGTGGATATAACCCTGTGGAGTGTTTTTGGCTGACTAGAGGAGGTTGGGGAGAAAATGGGAGATGAGGAACTGCAGATAGCTAGTATAATTGATCATGTCATTTTGTTGCAAAGGGGAGCAGCGAAATGGAGGAATGACTGGAAGGGTAACTTTTCCTTAGGATGTTGTCCTCATCAGCATCTTCTTTTCCCCTAATAATGCATGGCATATTCCAGACTTTAATTTTCAACTGGACTTTCACATAGAGAGAGGTCTGATACCTATGCAGGTGAACCTGTCTTTAATAAAAACATCTTTGTTTGATGAGTACTTGCTGTGTGCCATTTACTGTTCTTATGTACCTTATGTGGACTCACATTTCAGATTATAGTCTTTTGAGGCAGGCTCACTTAGTATTATCTCCTGTCAGCTTTATAATGCTATAAAGAATCCCAAAATTCTGGTGCTTAAACTAATTTATTCTTGGTCCTGATTCTGTGGGTCATCTGGGAAGTGACTTGTAGGCTTGACTCTCAGTTGTAATTTGGTTTCATTTTGTTGTACAGATTTCTCATCCTTTTCAAGACTTAACTCTCTCTACCAATGCTGTTAACAATTATCGTTCTAATATTGCAAATAAGTATTATGGTTCCTCTGAATCTTTTAATGATTCATTCATTCTTTTCTTTTCTTTTTTCCTGTATTTTTTTTTTTTTTTTTTGCCTATAGGATGAACAGGCACACAAAACCTTTGTGATTTGATCTTTGTCCCCACCCCCAATCCACTCAGTGTCCCAAACCTGATTCCTCATGGTCTTTTTCTTGTTTTAATGCCTATCTTAGAAAAGAGCTCCATATCTTCCTACTTTGCAGTCTTTCTGCTTAAATCTCCACGTTTAATTACTACAGATAATCTTCAAGATTTCCATTTTCTTTTCTTTTCTTTTTTTTTTTTTTTTTAATCATTACTTCTACCCCAGAGGTAGAAGCATGCACTGGTTCATCTAATCTCTGACATCATGTTTTGGTTAAATGTTACTGTAGAATAAATCACTGCAATGCCTAGTGTCTTAAACAATAGTTTTATTATCTTTTATAGTAATGTGGGTTGTCTGGGATAACCTGGGTGGTTTGTTTGGCAACTTTTTCTGGTCTCTTATATAGTTGTACCAGGTAGTAACAGGAGCTGGAGTTATCTGAAGGTATGACTCAGATTCTGGAATGGCTAAGCTTTTTCCGTATCCTTATAATCTCAGATCCTCTTTAGGAACCTTCTCTAGCTAGTCTCTTCAGCAGAGTAGCTTGATTTCTTGGCTGATGTTTCCCAAGAACACAAATCCGGAGCTCCCAGTATCCTTAAGGTATAGGCCCCAAACTGGCACAGAACCACATTCTGTTGATTAAAGTGATCCATACTATGTTGATGCAGATTCATTATGAGTGGAAGAAGGCATGTTTTATTGGGGAGCATCTTAAGAAATTAGTTATCATGTATTGTCTAATGGATACTTCTGTTATCATTATGGTATTACTTCTTAATAATTTCATTGTTAAGCTATAAGCTGTCTTACCTATATATTTTTTTAAAGAGAGAGAATTTTTAAAATATTTATTTATTTATTTTTAAAGTTTTCAGTGGACACAACATCTTTGTTTGTATGTGGTGATGAGGATCAAACCCCGGCCACACGCATACCAGGCAAACGTGCTACCACTTGAGCCACATCCCCTATCACAATGCCTGCTAATATGTAGTCCTCAATAAGAGTTTTTGAGTTGTAATATAAATTTCCTTATACATGGTCTTGTGACTTTTTCCTTATGAAATCAAGTTTTCACCTTAGCCTTTTAAAAACCTTTCAATTAGATTAAATGTAACCTAAGCTTTATCTTTTTAGAAACCCATCTCTGGGGAGAAAACAGGGATAGTTTGATGTTATACAGTCATTTATCTGTGCTCTTTTCCTTAGAGGTTATATATATGAGAGCTTAAGTGGTCATTTTAAAATACAAAGAATTGTGGTAATGTTATGCTTAAGTTTTAATACTTATAAAATCTTTTAATACTTTTAAAATCTTGGCTTATTTAAAAACTATATAAGTAAAATATGAATGAAGATGATTCTTGTTTTCCTATGACCAGAGATTGAACCCAGGGATGCTTAACCACCAAGCTACATCCCCAGTCCTTTTACATATTTTTATTAGACAGGGTCTTCCTGAGTTGCTTAGGGCCTTGCTAAGTTGCTGAGTCTGGCTTTGAACTCGAGATCTTCCTTTCCTCAGCCTCCTGAGCTGCTGAGATTACAGGTGTGTGCCACTCCTCCTGGCTGATTCTTGGATTTTCTTTTTTAATATTTTTTTTAGTTGTAGATGGACACAATACCTTTATTTTATTTATTTATTTTTATGTGGTGCTGTGGATCGAACCCAGTGCCTCACACATGTGAGGCAAGCGCTCTACTACTGAGCTACAACCTCAGCCCGTAGATAACTTTTTTTCTTACCAAAAATGAAAATGTTTTCCCTGTCAGTGTTATATGGCAATTGGTACTGATTTGTCTAGTCAGTTAACATGTATTTATTGAAACTTAAACATGTACCCACACTATGCCTGTTGATGTAGAGAAACATTTCCCTTTCTATCTGACTTTAGCTATTTGTAGATTTACAAATGCAGATTTATCTCCCCTTTAATGGTGGAGAGATAAATGAACCACTATTATTGCAAGCAGCTATGGGATGCTAAAAGTAATCTTGTGATCTTTACTTCACCTCAGTTTTCCCTTTAAAATGGAGGCACTTCTTCTCAGGATTAAGTATGAATAAAATGAGATGATATATGTGCCAATGCTTACAAGACTGTAGAATCTTTTAAAAGCTTCAGATTTTCAGTTTGCTCATTGTCTTTTAAAATATTCCTTAAAGGTTTAGCTCTGGTTGATTTCTTATCTAAAATAGTGCTAATCATCTCTGCAAATTTCCTAATTGCTTTGCAGATTCCTGTATTCAGATGAAGTTCAAATTGGCCCAGAAACAGTTATGACCACTCTTTATACTGCTAAGAAATATGCAGTCCCAGCCTTGGAAGCACATTGTGTGGAATTTCTCACCAAACATCTTAGAGCAGATAATGCCTTTATGTTACTTACTCAGGTAAGTAAATGTAACTACAGTCTGTGTCATTGTAGCTTAAAAATTGAATGTAAGTATAACCATATGTGAATATTTATTGTTTCCTGAAAAATTAATTCCAGATCATTATTTTAAAGTATATTTGTATTTTTACAGTATCTTTCAGATTCATAAGTTTTAGACTAGAAATACAAATTAGTACAATGCCAAATAATGTAAAGAAGTTAAAGCCTTATACAAGTGGGGTGTTGTAACTAAAAGTTAAATGGCTACTTAGGATTGGAGTTGGCGTTAAGATCCATTGTTGTTCCTGCTGTGATTGAGAATATGATGCCATGAAATTTTCTGGACATCTTTGTTCTCAGTTTTGCCAGATCTGAAATAAAAATAAAATATTTCAATTCTTCTAAGATTGACTATCTTTGTACCTGTTTCTGGAAGCTTTCTGGCCCATTCCTAGAGGAGTTAGAATTTTAGGTTTATATGAAATAGTCTTTTCACATTCTGAAGTTTCATTAAGTATAGTATTCATACAAAAAGTTGATATATTTTAAGTATATAGCCTAATCTTTTTTTTTTTTTTTTTTTTTTTTGATGGTGCTGGAGAATGAACCCAGGGCCTTGTGCATGCGAGGCAAGCACTCTACCACCTGAGCTATATCCCCAGCCCCCGTAATCACTTTATTATCTGAACATACCTATGGAAACATCAACCAGTCTTTAACATAATTTATTTATCATTTGTTAAATGCCTAAATCTGAATTTCATACTTTATACATAAATAAATAGTTTCTCGTTTTAGATAGTGTTGTAATGTTCTTGTATGAATTGTTTTTAAAATTGTTTTAAAATTGTTTTTAAAGTAATATAGAATCCAGCTGGATGTGGTGACACATGTCTGTTATCCTAGCACTTCAGAGGCTAAGTAGGGAAGATCACTTGAGCTCAGAAGTTCAAGACCAGTTTGGGCAACACAGTGAGACCCCAACCTTAAAACAAAACAAATATAATTTTATTGAATTTTAGTATTAGAGATAATCACTGATGACCTCTAGCTCAACTCTCTCATTTTAGAAATGGGAAAACTAAAACCTGGGCTAACTGCCTGCCTGTCCAAAGTCTCATAACAGATGAAGCTAGAGTTCAGAGCTCATGTTTCCAGCTCAGTGTTCATTCTGTTCTATAAGAAAATGTGTGGTACCTTTTGAAAAAATTCTTCTGTCATTAAGTGTTTCTTTATAGAAGAACATGTTGATGTCACCTCTTCTTGGACATTATTTCAGAACTCCATCTAGCCAGATACTAAGCTAACATTAGTAGTAGTAGTAGTTATAGTAATAATCGCAAAATGTATTGGGTGATGATTTTGTATAGGCTCCTTTCTCAGTGTTCTGTATGCATTAGTTTATTTAGTCCTTACAATAACTGTGTGAACTATAGGTGTTCAAACTAAAGGCTTTCTTATTATCACCATTTTATAGGTAAAGAAATAAAGACATAAAAGGGGGAAATAACTTGGCTAAAGCCATGTAACTAATAAGCTATCTCCTTGCATTTTTTTAATTTATGAAAAAAATCTAATAAGTAAATTGATATTCATAAGAGTCACAAGGTTATTTGTTCAAGGGGTTTTAGTGTATATGGAAAAGGTCACTTAGCAACTTTTACATTTTAAGTTCAATTATACAATTCAGACATAAGTAAACTGAACTTTGGCAATTAAAATACGGATTTAAGCTGGGCTCAGGCACATGCCTATAATCCTGGTGGCTCCAGAGGCTAAGGCAGGAATATCACGAGTAAAGAAGCCAACCTCAGCAAAAGTGATGTGCAAAGCAGCTCAGACCCTGTCTCTAAATAAATACAGAATAGGGCTGGGGATGTTGCTCGGTGGTTGAGTGTCCCTGAGTTCAATCCCCAGTACCCCACCACCACCACCACCAGTACAGATTTCGGGTTCAGTAAGTCTGAAATGTGGCCTGAGAGTTTAATTTCTAATAGGTTTTCAAATGACACCAGTGTTTCTAGACACTTTGAATGGAAGAGGTTATTTAATAGGCATCACTAAAAAAAGGAACTTTTCAGTATCTTGATGGCCTGAGAACCCAATATTATGTCCAAATTTTCACTCATGGAGTCATGTGAACTTCTTGCTCCTGACAAGTGAGTTATTTGCACTGTATCATGTTCATTTAGTTGAGACTGTTTATGGAAGCTTCACTATAAAACAGATTGCCAGTACCAGCATGATTTATATAATAAAAAATACTTTTTTATGAACTGTTATCAGAGTTAATATTAAGGTAAAATTTGAGAAAGTATATTTTACTCTAAATAACAATGATAGATTTTTGTAGGAAGCTTAATATTGCCTGTGTAATATAAGGAGTGACTGATGATTGCTATCCTGAATAATATAATTTTTACAAAGAATTTTCCTCTTAGATTAAAAGGTTAATTTTTATATTAATTTTTAACTAAAAATATAGTTCAGTTTGCCAGAAAATTTATTATAAGCAGTTGGTCTGGTTTCAGTAAATTTTCACTTCATAAAATGTACTGTTTCATACTTTAAAAATGCATGAACTTGGGGCTGGGGTTGTGAGTCAGTGGTATAGCGTTTGCTTAGCACGCATGAGGCACTAGGTTCAATCCTCATCACCACATAAAAATAGATAGATAGATAGATAGATAGATAGATAGATAGATAGATAGATAGATAAAGGTTTTGTGTCCATCTACAAATAACAAAATATTTTTTTAAAAATGCATGACTATGATCCTAGACTGGATCCTCTACTAAAAGGAAAAGTGTCATAAAAAATAATCACAATCAAGTGAAAAACTGAAATGCAGCCAGAAGACTGGATAAAAATATTGTATTAATGATAAATTTACCAAAGTTAATTACTGTGGTTATGTAAAAGAATCTCCTTGTTCTTAGGAATTTAAAGTTAAAGGGCCATGGTTTCTACAACTTTTCAAATCGTTCAGCTAGTGTGTGTGTGTGTGTGTGTGTGTGTGTGTGTGTGTGTAGGGAGAGAAAATAAAGCCAAGCAAAATTGTAGATGCTAGATACATATTTCAATCGATAAATCTGGATAAAGGAATTATAACTGTTTATAGTATCAGTTTTGAATATGTACAGCCTGAAGGTGAAATAACTATGAAAATAAAAATTATTTCCTTATGTTTATATATATGGGTGTTTGTGCTATTTTTGCAACTTTTTTATAAATCTAAAATTCCAAGTAAAAAAATATTAAAGGAAAATAACATGACAGAGTTAATATTTTATTAATATAGATTTAGAGCTGAAATTTATTAGCAGCTTGACAAAGCAAATTAATATAAACAAGTTCAAGAAGAGAGTTTCCAAACATTCTATAATTTTAAAAACTTTCTGATGTAATATTTATATATGTAAATTAAAGTTTTTAATGCAAGTACTTTCTTTTTTTAAATATTTATTTTTTAGTTGTAGTTGGACACAACACCTTTTATTTATTTGTTTGTTTGTTTATTTATTTTTATGTGCGAACCCAGGGCCTTGCACGTGCTAGGTGAGTGCTCTATTGCTCAGCCTCAACCTCAGCCCTAATACAAGTACTTTAAAAACTATATACAATTTAAAACTTTTAATAAAGATATACATAATTAATAAATAAATAAATCCAACGTGTTGATATATATTAAAATCGGAATGATAGCGAGATTAGCATGGCCTGGCACAGGCACTTCACTTCATGAAGTATTAAAATAAGTAAATCTAATGTGTTTAATATTCTTTTCTCCCATAAAACACAAGGTATCTGTTCAACTTAGAGTTTTTTCCAGTTGCTCAGTAATATCTGAATTATTGAATCCTTTAAAATTAATTTTAGTTTAAAGTTAAATAAAAAGCCAACAGTCATGCCAAGTAATAGGTGTCACTTATGGGGTAGTTAATTGGTAGTGTTCTCAGAAGATTTTTGCATGACTGTGAGACTAGAGGAGACCCCTGTAATTTCCCCATGAATATCTCTGTGTTTAATGTTTGCCTCTGCTATGAAATATAAACATAGCTGACTCTAAGTCAGAATGAAAGCTTGGTCATTGGCATGCTTATCATGGTATCTTCTTTTTCAGTGTTAGCTTTTTTTTTTTTTTTTTTTTTAATTTTTTAGTTGTAGTTGGACACAATACCTTTATTTTATTTATTTATTTTTACATGGTGCTGAAGAATGAACTCTGGGCCCCGCACGTGCTAGGCGAGAACTCTACTGCTGAGCCATAACCCAGCCCCTCAGTGTTTCAGTGTTGGCTTCTTAAAAATCTCATTTGAGTTTGACTACTAATCTTCTGCTTTTAAACAGTTTCTTTTTTTTTTTTTTCTTTTTTGAGGTATAGCGTGCAAACTGGTAAAACACATATTCTAATCTGGACATTTGGGTGGTAATCATACATTATATAAACTCTTGCTCATCATATATACTCTGGCTACTTTTCCTTATCACTAAGTGTGTGGGATTCATTCATATTTTAGGGTATAGTTATAGATCATTTGTTGTCATTGTTGCATTAACATTTTATTATTTATATTATTGAATATATTTATTTGTTCTGTTATTAGCCCTAGTTTTTGCTGAGATTCCCAGAGCTCTGATGCTCTAAAATTCCCCCACTCCCCCTTTGCCAAAGGTTAGTTTCTCTTTCTTTAGTTGTTGATGACCTTTAATTAATTAATTAATGTAATATTTATTTATTTATATATGGTGCTGAGAATCAAACCCAGTGCCTCACACATGCTAGGCAGGTGCTCTACCACTGAGCTACAACCCCCACTTGATGCTCTAAAGTTCTTACATTCTTTCTTTCCTTTCAATTAAAATTGGAAATGTGTTTAAAAAAAAAAATCAGTGGCTGGACTGAACTATATCCCCAGTTCTTTTTATTTATTAATTTTGAGGCAGGGTCTCACTTAGTTGCCTAAGGTCTTGCTAAGTTGCCAAGGCTGGCCTCAAACTTGTGATCCTCCGCCTTAGTCTCCAGATTACAGGCATGCACCCCCATGCCCCACTTGGCATTTGTATATTTAGCTTTTTATTTCTAATTGTAGAATAAAGATTTTTTAATTATTTTAAATAGGTATTTTTATATAATGAGGAATTATAACTGTTTATAGTATCAGTTTTGAATATGTACAGCCTCGAGGTGAAATAACTATGAAAATAAAAATTATTTCCTTATGTTTAGGCTCGATTATTTGATGAACCTCAGCTTGCTAGTCTTTGTCTGGACACTATAGACAAAAGCACAGTGGATGCAATAAGTGCAGAAGGGTTTACTGATATTGATATAGGTAAGTTCCTTGTGAACTAAATTTTTACATTTTA